CATAGTTCTCCATCCCCTGACAAAGGAATCTGGTTTCTCTCCTGTTTCTAGAAGTAATGCTACCCTCACAGAGATCTTGGTCTTACCTTTGAGCTACACTTGTACAGTGGGTGACTGATAGAATCGACATAGTGGTGCCTCATGCAACGCCGAGGGTCTGAGTCCATCATGAAGGAGCTGTCCGTTTTGCTGTCTGTATCTCCCATTAGTGCCAGCAGGGAGAGCATAGAAAAGGATGCAGCTAGTACATGATTTCTCATTGTTGTAAAGAAAAACTTCTCAAGAGGAACAGCAGAGGGAGGCAGAGGACTAACAATCGGAAATGCCTTCACCTCCTAGGATCCAGTTCCTTCCAAGGAACGGGCAGGATCTGGCTGGAGCTTTCTGGTTGTCATTGTCCTTTGTATGCCAGAGTTTTGTCTTACTCTTTGCACTTGCAATCCATCATCACTCTATCTGCTGCACAGCTGGAATGAAAACAGAAATTATTTTCCCCAGAAACATTTACTGAGAAAAACTAACGGAACCCAGGAGGTACTGAGTAGAATTTTTCCATGTCATTTCAAGTAGAGAATACTGGTTTCTAGAGTGTCATTAGCATAAACTGTCATCCTTTCCACACCCCTTCCATAGCTTGTGCTACATGTTTATAACCATTTGGAAGTGGAAACAGTGGCTTAATGGAAGTACATGTTGACTTTAATTGCTGGAGTCCATGTTCCTACAAGCAAGAATAGTTTGAACCCATGGTAAAAATGAAACATGTGGTTCTGGCCACAACATAACTGAATAGGGTGGTCTCATCCTTATCCCTGGTTGGCGGAGTCTATTCAGTGTCGCAGTAAGCTTTTTGTCAATGTCAGCTTACAGGGATAGAAAGGAGGAAGGTCAGCACTAATGAACACAGACCATGTCCCCTGTGAAGGAAACATTTTCCACTTCTAAGTCCATACCCAGCCACCCACCTAGTTTTCCAGTTCTGTGATCTAGGCTCATCCTGTTTTTGTTTTAAGCCCCGTGGTACCCAGTATCGATGACAAACTGCATCTGATATACACATTATGCCAACTGGCCTCCAGTGTGGTCATAACAATATGTGTATTTGCCAATACAGTCACACATTTCTGCAGTCTCTGTAGCCTGAGCACGTGGCATAATTTGAAAAAATAAGTGGTCATTGGAGTGGAAAATTACCATTAAAATGGGATCATGCTATACCAGTTTTCCCGGTATTTGCTTTGCTCTTTTAACCATATACCTCTTGGACTAAGGACTGGGGTCCAGAGATCCCCGCCCCCCAAATCACTTCAATAACCCACAAGGCATAGTCAACATTGATGCTTTTTATCACAACAGAAAACATAAAGTATAAAAAAATATTTTCAAGCATTTAGGAAAATTGGGAGCAATCTAACATTACATCCAAAACAAAAGGAACATAATAATCAAAGTTTCAACAAAAAACTTCCATATTTCAGATAAAAGATTGATTTTTGCTCATAGTAGAATATTTTTTTAAACTTCTTACTCATAGACCATCTAAATAAACAGGACAAAGTATTGATAAAATCAAGATTAGACGTTCAAGCTCATATAAGTCAATTAGTTTTGCTGTAATAGAGTGGCCCCAGACCCACTTAGCCTGTTAGCTGCCTTGCGAATGTGGGGCAGAGGATCCCAAGCAGGAAAGTATGTGTTCCATAGGGCTATTTTAGAGCACCGCATCCTTGGCAATGACAAAACCTCAGCGTGTGTTTCACAGAAGTTCTTTAAATTGAAGAAAGGGTAAGGATCAGTAACAAGGGGACCTACCTGGATTCTAGCACTGTCCTTAATTATCTGGGGGACCTTGCACAGCTCATTTAAACTGTACCAGCCCCAGTTTCCTCACCTGTAGCGTAGAGGAGTTGGAAAAGATGGCAAATGAAGTTCCCTCTTGTTCTAAAATGTCACTACCTGATACTTATAGATTCAATCACCACCATCTTCATATGCAGAAGGAACCCTAAAGCTGAGGAGACCATCTTTTCATACAACTTTGTGCCATTTTCTTTTATGTGCATGCTAATGGAAACATCTTATTAAATTTGATCAAGACTTAGCCTAAAGCTCCACATCAGCAAAGGATAAGAAGAGCATTTTTTGTTTTCATTTCAAAAGTCTAGGTTTTCCTATGCACATTACACTGAAATTCTTGCATTAATACTGACCATTTCCTGAGTTTAAATATGACTATGTTATCCCAAGTGGGTTATCTGTCTCTTTGAAGCCTTAATTAGTCTCAGAAAGAGAATTTATTAGATTTCTCCTTTCACCACTCCAGTTTACAGATATTTCCCCCAGCAGTCAATGGGAGGGGATAAAGGGAAAAGCAGACATTCTAGTCCTGCCCCGCCCTTCCCACTGCCAGATCCTTCTCTTCAGAGCCATGACCAGCAGATATGGTCAAATGAGCAAAACAAATGAAAGAAAAACATGGATAGCATGATAGTAAAAACAAGCAACACCAACAAAAGTCCATATATAGTTGTATTTGTTGGCGTTTGCATTTTCTCCACAGAAAAGAACATATAAAGATATAAATAGTCTTTAAACATAGAAGATGGGTATGCTCACTCATCTGGAAGAAACGAAAATTAAAAGTACTTTGGGATATTTTGGGAAAGATCCCAAAGTCTCATCATGCACCCTGTTAGCAAGGCTATGGGAAAGAGACCCATTTTAGAGATAGTGAAGTATAAATTGATACAAATTCTGTAGAGGCCCATTTGGCAATATCGATTAAAATTACAAATGTATATAACTTAGGCTCAGAAATTCCACTTCTGAGAATTAGCCTACACATGAGATCATGCAAGCATATGGTTATTCACTATAGCATCGGTTGCCATAGCATAAAATAGAGCCCAAAATATCCATTGGTAGAAAACTGGTTAAATACATTATACAACATTCATACAATTGAATACTATGCAACTACATAAAAAATAATGCAGAAACTCTACAGATTTGTATTGTTAAAACAAGGAGGGACAAGAATATATATATTTGTGTCTATTTGTATTTGCATAGAGAAGCTCTGGAAGGGTACCGAAGAAACTATATAATTAGTTAGTTACCTATGGAGTTTGGAGGACAGGCATGGGAGAAAAACTTTACTGTGTACCCTTTTTTTAATCTGTAGATTTTTGAACTTGTGAATATATACCTATCCAAAATTTTATTTAAAAGTAATACTTCTTATTTTAAAAGCTAGGTTTAAAATAATAATTAAGTTAGTGGATGTTTAAATCTGTCACTATTATTTAGTAGTATCATATTTTTATTATAAATATAGGAAGACCTGCTAGTCTTTTCTTCGTTCTTGTGCACTACTGCCACCTAGTAGCAACATCCTGAATTGCAAGTACAGTTTTGTTTTGTTTTTTTCTGAAAGCATAAAAGAAATGACAGAGGAAATGTTGCTTCACCACTAATAATAGGTTTTTTCATTTCAACACATTCACAAAGCATGATACTTTTTGTTCAGTTTTTATATTGACTTCTGAAATAAGATTGCAAGCAGCAATATAAACATGCCACAGAATTCATAGAACCTCAAAGCAGAAAAGTAAGATTCTTGCAACATAACATTGGGATTTTTGCTTTAAGTGTTCAAATTGAATGATTCAACGTGTTGTGCTAAAGAAGGAATAAACATAATTCTCAAGAAAATAGGTATGTTAAGTCAAGTTGTCCAAACATTGTGTTGGTTGGGGTGTATATAGGTGCGAATGTGCAGAGTACTGAGGAAAATACAAAGAGGAAAATGGAAAATGAAGGGACTATACATCACTCAATATTCTGACTTTATGGAAGTCTAAGGATATCTATGTCTGTCTTGTAGGAGCTTCTGTCATTTTTCTCAAAATTAAATTAATTCCAATTTGGTTCATTTTTTTTAAAGCCACACAGCATAAAATCAAATGCTGCCTATCAAGACTTAGAACCTTTGCCCAGCCAAAGATGGATTGAATAAGAGAATTACTCTCTTGCTGAACTCAGTTGCCCCAAGGGCTGCTCTGTGCTCTGGGTACAGTCTCTGAGACATCGACTTGGCCAGTGTACAGAGCCCACATGCTAATAGTTTCAATGCCGACAGGAGAGGCACGTAGGATGGCGTGCCCGGCTTTGGAGCTACCCTTCAAATGATACCAGTGGAAAAGAACAACTGGTGCCCAGATTTCCCCACCTGTCACCCTCAGCGAAATAATATAGCAGAGCTTACAGTGGGCCCAGCCTCCTGGGTGAGAGATGGTGTTATGTCTACGCATCAGCTCCCTCTTGGGCTGACCTTCTGCCTGGCAGAGGGTAAAGTGCTGGTTTCTTGCAAAGTTATTCCAGCAACAGGCTAAGACAAGTGGCATGTGCCAAGAATGGCCTTAATCTTGCCATGCTTGCCAGGTAAGTGGGTGGTGCTCTAGTATTCAGACCTTCCCCCCATCTGCCCAGGCTTTTTTCAGTACTAATATATGCAGATATTGCTTCCTGTGGTTTCTTTCAATAAGTATTTACTCAACACATTTGTTGAGCACCTGCTATTTGTCTGTTTGTGTTCTAGAAGATAAAAGTTAAGGGTCAGGGTTAAAAAGAAATCCTATTTTAATTCCCTCTTTCAGCTCATTGCATCTACCAGCAAAGAATCTTGGCCTGTTGTTATCCTGGTTTATTCTTTGGACACATTGATAAACTCCCTTAACATCTAATTTGTGTCCAACATGCACTGCATCATTTCTAAGAATATCAAATTAAGCAGATAAAATATAATAATACTGGAATGGCGTCAGTGTAACAGACAGAATTATTTGATATTTACTATAATTTAAAACAATCATATCAGGCATGAGTAAAGTAAAGATGACAGAATGTAGAGCCTCTCTCAAAGGAATTGCCAAAAAAAAAAATCCAAGATTTAAGTGTGAAAGAAAGGTTGCCACTAGATAACTCTTCATACTAATATTAGAAAAGCAAGAAAGTCAAGGTCTAATCGGGGATTGTGAAATGCTAAGTAGCCCCTTCCCAGGAACTCAAAGAATTCCGATCGGATCTAGTCAACTAGATGCCTTGGATAATAAGTCAGAAGTCTCTTCCCACTTAATTTATAAACTGTAAACAACATGTTGGACTCCATAAAGCATCCCGTGCACTCAATGAATGAGTTTTGACATTATTTTTATCGAACAGCACATCAGTAGCAGCCAAGAAGCCAAGCCTGGGCTGAGTCAGAGGCAGTAGTACTGACAATGAATGCTGCCAGGCCTCCAGCCTGCCAGCCCCAGGTAGCTCCAAGGATGGGGAGCCACAAGGTCAGTGTGTGTGTGTGTGGGGGGCTGCTCCTGCCCCTGTTGTCTTATGGTGTCTCCACTACAATCAGAAGTGAAGGAGCATGTGAGGCAGTACCTGCCCCAATTAACAGCAGTCCTCCAGT